CCCCTGGATCCAGTGTTGCTAGAGGCTGCCAGTGCTGACTTCACCACAGGAAGTCCACCTGTCCCCGCCTGCAGCCTAATGCGAGTCTCCTCCTGGATCATAGCCGAGACAGCCTCCTCAAGCGTGAGAATCTTCGGCTGAGCTAGCAGCAATACAATTGGCTGAGCGAACTCTGATGTTAATCCTTTGAGAAACACCATAGTCCTTTCCTGTAGAAAGGCATCCCGTTCTTTACATCCCGGGTCCTTGCAGCTCACCCTAGGTGAGAAGTGATCATAATCCAGCCACAGCCGCTCCAGCTCTGTGGCATACTCCTGTACAGTCTTATCTCCCTGGACTGTGGTGTCGATCTCTCCCTTAATCTGGAACACCCTTAGGTTATTCCCCACTCCATCATAGGTCCTCCTCAACTTTTCCCAAACGTCCTTCACCTTCTCAATGCCATCCACTGTGGCGGCGATCGACTGGACCAACGAGTTGAAGAGCCAGATGTATACCAACATATGAGTGGACTTCCACTCATCTCTTCCCTCCGAGTTCTCATCCGGCTCTGTCGCCTCTCCTGTCAAGTAATCCTCCAGGTTCCTCCCTGCAAGGGTGTATCTCACCCGTCGCGACCAGCTCAGGTAAGTACTCGGTCGATCAAGCTTCAGATCGATGGTCGGAAGCTTCAATTTCTTCGATGGTTTTGTCGCGCTCTCACCAGCCGACAACTTCATCAGCTTCATCAAAGTTGACACCTCCGCGGGGTTCAACTTCTTGATGATCTCCTCCATCGATCGGCCATCAGACCCAACACCTGTTCACCTTCTCTTCCGACCCTTGTTGTGTGCAGTGAAAATTTCGGCAGCACCTCTGCTGCACAACAAGAGTAAGATCTCAAACAAATTCTCGTTTCTCAGAGGAAACAAGAATAAAAAACAGTGATATATCTCATCGCCGTGAGATATAGCCGGGGGAGGGGGGGCGGCGGCGGCTAGGGTTTGGGTGGAGGCTCTGATACCAAGTAGAAATATATAAAAACTCTAATTCATTGCTGAGATAACTTGGGCTTATATAGGCCCATACAAAACACAACTTACAAATAAATCCCTATATATTACTAATATGTCAACATAATTCCAAGAGCAGTAGGTTCATCTATGAAATGAATGTTTATTTGCATAAACTATATTTTCATCCTTCTGATTGTTTATGTTGAAGTTGCGGAGATATATATTTATGGGCTGATTTCAGATAGACCCCCTGTAGTATCGATGTTCTGAACTTACTAAACCTGTAGTTTCATTGTTGTAGCACTTCCAGGGCAATTTTTTATTCACTCTTTTACCATGGGACTCTGTCAGATATTGCCCCTGGTGAAATAAGTGAATACATGTAAGGGTAAAAGATTCTGAAAAACTGTAAGCCAGAGGATCTATCATGCAACAATGAAATTACAGGTTATTAAGTTCAAAATAGTGACACTAGAGTCTAAGTGGGTCTATGTGCAATTAGCCCTATTATTTATTATTGACATACTGTTTTCTCCTTAATCAACGTCAGAAAATTAAAGTGATCAAGGATCACTGAAGAATCTCAATATTTTTGCAATAAATGAGTCCTTTACATAGAAATTTTCAGACCCTTAGTTAGAATTCTCAGTTTCCAAATATAGGTCTTCAGTGGTATAGTAGGTCTAGATGATTTCTGAGAGTTCTAGATACTAAATTTAGTTTCTCTTCCCATAAACTAAAAATTGATATACCTGCGTGGTTTGGGTAAGCAGCATAGCTGCAAGGGGATGCATCTTCCTATGATAAAAAGCTATAACAATGGTGACGATATTCACAGCATAAACCGAGTTCGAGCCAGAATTTGCAAAGATAGTGATCAGAACATGCTCTTTGAGATTGAAAGGTCCCGGGTTCAGTGAGAATGACCACTTTGTGCCTGGTATTTTAATTGGCTTAGTAGGAAGTGTAGCTGCCATTAGTTTGCCTATCGGCATAACCACAATCTGAGCAGAGACCGAGGAGATATATAACTGATTCTGGCGGTAACCAAAGAACTGGTTCAAAAAGGCAAGGATGGCGCATGACGTGATTCCAAGAACCCATGTTCGAAATGTTAGGGCGGGTATTGTTGGGTCGTCTGTGATTGGAACTGTGAGTCGAACTTGCTCGATTGGAGAATCATTAACTTCATCTGCAAGATATGAATGAAGACATTAAGATTTTGACTTCATCATTAGTTTTCTCCTCAGTTTCAGCACCTGGAATAGAAACATTTATGTCTGAACAACATATCAAGTTCTTTGATTTCCCTCTTTCTTGTTTCAAACCAAGCAATAATATTTCTCAAATATTAGATCTTAGCATCTTAAACTAGATTAAAGGAAAATCTGTTAAAAGAAATTCACCTGTTTCAACCTCAGGATGAACCCTGGCAATTGATTCTCGCGCCTCGTTACCATTGGAATCCATGGCCTTTTCTTTAATTAATCAGATGTGCAAGCCATTTATAAGGTACAAAGTATCGATCTTTTGACCATCGATAGTACATTCATCGATATTTTATTCGTAAAATTTGGACGTTGGTAACAAGAACATGATAGAAACCTCTGTGATAATGCTATCAAATTTGTAATCTTGGAAATAACGTTGGCGGTAAAACAATAACGGGTCATTATTTGAAATGGCATTATGTTGGTTGTAGAGGAATTTAGGAGCCGGCTGCGTGGGGATTCCAAGAAGTTGGATTATTAGTTAAGTTGGAACCTGCACAACAAGTTGGTTGGATTCTTTGTTGTACCATTTGTTTTTTTTAAAGCAGTAGAATAATTGGCTAATAAAGACAAAGCGTGTTCTGATATTTTTCCATCATTTTTGAGGGTAACCTTGTATCTTAGTTCCTAGAAATGTTGGTCAATATTTGGTTTAGATATTAGTTTCTTAAAATTTTCATTTTGTAATTAGCCCTTCAAATCACTGAAACTCCTGTCAGGTCTCTCCATTCCTATAATTGTTTTAAAATTAGTCCCTCACATAATTGAAATCACTATTAGATCATGCAATTCTCATAAGTTGTTTCAATTAGTCCCGCTTTTCCAGAACATGAATAGACATGATTCATTGGAGCTGACAAGGGGTTGGCCTGAGATGAAGAGGACTTTATATGTATTATATTTATATTTTCTCTTTTTTCACGAGGGATCAAACTATAGGTGAGTTGTCATATAATTTTGTACATTTCTAGCACGTAACTTGTGTTATTATTATCTCTTTAATGTGACATTGTAACTCTAGGTGGATTACGCCTCACCGTTTCTCTAAAAAGAATTGGGGCATCTAATAGCAATTCTAATGATTTGAGGGACAAATTTCAGAGTACGAAATATTTGAGGAGATACTAATATGCAAAAATTGGGAAACAAGCATTTTGTACCCCCTCAACAAACGGAAACAACAACCAACAAAAATATAAAACTACAAACAAAATGCTCTCTCTCCCGCTCTCTTCCCTCCAATTCCCAACTCAAAATCTCCCGTCTCCTCTTCCCTCCAAAACAACCATCACCTCTCCATCTCACCTCAAACAACTCCACTCTCTCCTCATCAAAACAAACACCCCTCTCCCTACCCTAATCCCCTTCACCCAAATCCCCTCTCTGTGCTTCCCTTCTCACTTCCATTATGCCCACAAAATCCTCTGTCTCCATTCCCCGAAACCCGAGATCCTCCATTGGAACTCCTACCTCAACACTCTCTCCTCAAACCCTTCTTCCTCCCTCGAAGCCCTTCGTCTCTTCTCTTGCCTTCGTGAGCTCGATCTCCTCCCCAATTCCTTCACCCTCTCCTTTGCCCTCAAAGCCTGCTCTCAAATCCCCGATGGTATTTTCATCGGTAGATGCATCCATTCATTGATTGTGAAGCTTGAGTACCAATCTGAGGTGTTTTTAGTTAATACCCTTGTCAACATGTACTCACGTTATGGCGGTGAGGATGATGCTTTGCTTGTGTTTGATAAAATGGCAATTAGAGACGTGGTATCTTGGAATATTATGATTACCCATTTTGTAAAAAAGGGGGAAATTGTGCTTGCGAGGGACTTTTTTGATAAAATGCCAGATAAGAATATCCGGTCTTGGACAGCAATGATTGCGGGCTACGTGCAAGCAAAGAAGGCAAAGGACGCTATTGAATTGTTTCGAGAGATGGAAGAGATTGGGGTAAGGGCTAATGAGGTTACAGTCGTTGCAATTCTAGCAGCTTGTGCAGATTTGGGTGATCTGGAGTTGGGAAAAAGGGTTCATGAATATTCGAAGAGATCCAGGTTTGGAAATAACGTCAGGGTTCAGAACACGGCGATTGATATGTATATCAAGTGTGGTTGTGTTGAGCTTGCGCGAAATATGTTTGATGAAATGACAGAGAGAACGGTGGTATCATGGTCAGCGATGATTTGTGGCCACGCAATGCATGGGCAAGGAGAGGAGGCAGTTAAGCTCTTTAAGACCATGACTCAACTGGGTGTTCAGCCAAACGGTGTCACCTTCATCGGTATCTTGCATGCTTGTAGCCACATTGGATCTGTCGATGAAGCGTGGAAATTCTTTACAAAGATGACTGAGGAGTATGACATAGTTCCCGAGATTGAACATTATGGATGCATGGTTGATCTCCTAAGTAGAGCTGGTCAGCTCGATGAAGCCCTTGACTTCATCAACACAATGCCAATCAAGCCCAATAGCATCGTGTGGGGAGCTCTATTAGGTGGAGCTAGAGTGCATAAAAGAGTCGATATAGGAGAAGAAGCTATTCGCCATCTCAGAAAATTAGATCCACTTAACGATGGTTATTATGTTGTTTTATCGAACATATATGCAGAGGCTGATCGATGGGGGGATGTTGCGAAAATTCGAATGTCAATGAAAAACTGTGGAGTCAGAAAAACGCCTGGTTGGAGCACTATAACAGTTAATGGAGAGACGCACGAATTTGTTGCTGGTCAAATCGGGCACCCGAGAATGGAAGAAATTTGCAAGAAATGGGAAGAATTAGTGAAGAAAATGAGGGCAAGAGGGTATACGCCAGATACTTCAGTTGTGATGCTTGACATAGAGGATGAGGGAGAAAAAGAGAAGATTTTGTTTCGGCATAGTGAGAAGCTGGCTTTGGCTTTTGGATTGATGAGTACTCCACCAGGATCAGTGATTAGGATTATGAAGAATTTGAGAGTTTGTAGTGATTGTCATAAAGCTTTCAAGTTGATATCGGAGATTGTTGGTAGGGAGATTGTGGTAAGGGACAGGAATCGATTTCATTGCTTTAGGGACGGCTCATGCTCTTGTAAAGATTACTGGTAGGTATATAACGTGAACCTAAAAAAATAGAAGCTGATTGAAGCAGTTCGGTGTGGTTAAGGCCATTTTGGTGTGTTCTCTCCTTACTCTGTTAGCACTTCTTTCATTTATTTTTATTGCTCAAAATAACCTTCTTGCACTTTGTCTTTCATGAGAAAATATACAATAGGTTATGGACCACGGCATTAAATGCGCATTCAAAAGATATCAACCCTTAGATCTGTGCATGAATCTCGAAACATAATGATCCGATGGCTGACATTCATTCGTTGCACAATTAATGACATGAACCGCCTGCACACCTGATACTTTTCTGTCTTTCATATATTCACACCTAGCTTATTTGCCAATATTAATCAAGTTTAATGGTGCATTTGGATACCTGTGGTTGGATAAGTAGCGCATGTTCAACCTAATTTACTATCAATATACATTCTCGATCAAGTATGATGAATGCGTAGTGAGAAGTGCTGCATGTGCTTTAGCTCATGCCTCTATGTTTTGACTTTGCTTTGTTGCTACTAAATAAAAGCATGGATTAGATTGAAGTTGCATTGAATGCATTGTTGTCTCTCATTGCTCCTAAATTATAACCTCATATTCAGATCTAGAGTATTAGGGCCAGATACACTTAATCATGCTTAAACATCCTAACCTTGACCTAATCCCTCTAACCTTGAAGTGAGACATAGTGTGGGTCATTAAGAGGGGTGAAGGTTGAAATAGGAAAGATATGGAAGAAGAAAGAATGGATGACATAGCTTGGTTGAGAAGTTAGAATTCATGGATCGGAATAAAGAAAAAAAAAAGGAAAAGGATAGTTTAGTTCAAAAGTATGATTCATGGATCCAGGGTGAAGAATATTTTGCCCAGCAGTATTAAAGGAAAACTACAAGCTTGTCACAAGAACTAATTCCCAATTAATTGCATAAAAGGTTATTGATAATTATTTAAATCCTTGGGCAAAAAGCTATTTAGTCAAGTGGAGCATGGGTACGTGAATGGAAATGGACAGGATATCTTTAAGACTGGAGGGTATGAAATGTTATGGTTCCGTGAGAGAGTTGAGGGGTAAAAAAGGAATAAAGAGGGAGAAAATCATAATATTGAGATTTAAAAAAGAAATGTAATGTTTAAAACGATGGATGAAAGTTTAAAAAAAGGTAGGAGAATTCATCACGCTAAATTCTCTTTTCTGTTTTAATAAAATACAAACTCATATAGTCATTCGGTTAACAATAAGAGGAGTTTGTAAGGAGTTTGTAATTTGAGAATCACACGAGCATAGATCCTTCATTATCCTTTGTAAGAGCATCTCCAACAGCTTCCCCAAAATTTTCTTCAAAATGGAGAAACAAAAGTCATATTCTCCAAATTATTTTTGCTCTAACTCCAACAGCTTCCCCATTTTGAAAAATCGTATTTATTACAACAATAAAGCTCTCCCCAAAAATTTGGAGAATGCTGCAGATTTGGGGAAGACTCCCTATTTTTTCTCCTCCTTCCCTATTTTGGAGAATAGGATGGGGAATCTGTTGGACCAAAAAAAAGCTCTATATTTCCCAAATTTGAGTATTTCAAGAAGATGGGGAAGCTGTTGGAGATGCTCTAAATAGTTTAATAGTTATCTACAACTAGTCAATTAGGAATTGTCAAATAAAAAAGAAAGCATCCAATGAAAACAGTGACAATAAATGTGCATCCAATGGATATCAACTCTTGAATTAGTACACGAATCACAAAATTTTATGATTCAAAGATTGTTATCCCTTGAGTGCATATTTATTGTCATGCGCCGTCCTCACTACATACTTTCCTTGAGTGTATATTTATTGTCGTGCGTCGCCCTCCTTAGATACTTTCCTCGTGAGACACAGTTAACGCGAACAACCATGACAAGAAACACATCCTTGAAGTGAACATGATACTGCTACTTAAAAATTGAATTGATGGGAGGCGCTACATGCACACCCTTAGGCACACCACCAACCACACTCCCTCCCTCTTGTTACAGTGCAGCGGCCCCACATGT